GATGTATTTGATTAGAATTGGTTGCTTCCTCAAGGGAGTTGTAAGTTTTGGGAGGCAAGACGGGGCGGAGGTGGTGCGTTCCTCAGCTGCATATTACCGAATATTATTTGAACACTGGTTTCGATCATAGCAGAAATGCGGTTATAATCGATACTGATCGCGTTATCGGAAGAATTCGCATTGGAATTCCTAGTAGGGGGATTAAGTTCAATTAAAGGAACTGAGTTGTTACCAACATGCGAGATTGGACTCTGACCCCTATCAGTGGTTATTTCGCGGGACGACTGAATTCCAGCGTTTCCTCCGCGACGATTGGATCAACGGGTTTGTCTACAGCCAGGAGTTCTCCCACGCCCACGACTGGATGATGCATTTAAATTAGCGTTAGTCCTATTAGTACTAATTTCATTGGCTGTAATGATGGGTTTCAAATCTCTGCTATGACATAAGCGACGACAGCCGGGACATTCGTTATTCTCTGTAATCCACTTTACTATACATGTTTTATGAAAGTTATGAAGACACGGAGTCACCGAGCAATCTCGCGGTTCAACCATTTCTTGCAAGCAGATGGAACACTGGTTTAGGGAGTTATCCGCGGTAAGACCGGGAATATTTTCGGCGCTATGGACTACAAACATTTTTCGATATAATAAAAAATCGAGAATTTACAATTATTCCTTGATTAGCGATAGCAACGGTAACGTTGGGGTTTGATGTATTTTATTTTATATATATATATTTTTTTAATCAGAATCAGCAAGAAGAAGAAACGTACATTATTTTGCTCTAAATTTTCGTATGGCAGGGAAAGTCTTAGTTTTTCCTGAATTGGATGCGAAAAAATTCCGGCGTGGACGAAAGGAAGCTGAGGGACAGCGTAGATTTCGCATTCCTACTACCACCAATTATTACGATTTCCACTTTTCAACAAGACTTCCTATCACGTAAAATTTATAGAAAACAACTTTGGGTCAAAAAGGAAATTATGTAGCTAGAAGGTCAAGCTATTTTCAAGTTGCTAGAAAATTGTGAAATTCCTCCAAGTTTTTAATTTTATTTTGACCTCCAAAGTTTTACTAAAAACAGAGACAAGACAATATCATATAAATGTTAAATGGGAAGAAAGTTATTGAAAAGAATATTGGACCAGCAAAGGACAATCGACAATGAATTTACTGTAACACCGGGGTTTTCTTAGGAAGCGTAAAGTAGCTTCATTTCGACTGTTTTAAGTTGTCAAATTGCCTATCGCCTTCGGGCCCCACGTTGGGCGCCATTTTCTGTAACCAACACCGATAGACTCGCTTGGTTATAGGCAATAGTCGGACGGAACTCGTCTTTGCCGCTAGCTTGACTATTTGCCCAAAACTAAGGTAGTTGGTTCAAAAAGTTTAAAGACTTCCTAGAAAAAAAAATAAGACCAAAATGCCGACGAAACTGATCGACTGAAGTTTAACCCAAAACGAAAAGAAAAATCTTTAAATAATCAAAAATAAGAATTTCCTGCATCTTACAATTTTTTTTCTCTAGCGCAGATGCAGTGGCTAAGCCCACCCTCCACGGATTCTCAATGGCGCTTAATTGAAAATCCCCAATCAACTTCCACCAAACCCTCCCGTTACCCTATCGCCAAGGAAAAAAAAGTAATTATTCCATTACAATGTTAACCTTTATTATATCACAAAAAGATTTAAACACAATTCAAATTGAGTTATTAGGGGCCTACTTCTAACAGCATTTCTGATATGCAACCGGTTTTTATAATTTTTCGTATTTTTATTTTTTATTTTTATACGTTACAAAGAAAAGAATATTAAGGCGAATGCGAGAATTTACAACAATAAAAAATTAATAATGGCTGACTTATCCAATAGGAACCTCTTTGCAAGCAAAAATCTTAAATTCTTAAGTTTTTTCTTCTTTTTTTTCTATGGTGAATGGTAGAATTAACAAATCCAAACAAATCTTAAACAAATAGCAAAAATGCCAGGGAGAGAGTGAGAGAAAATGCGGAACGGTTGAGATAATTAGGTTTGTACGTTCATAGTTAACAAGCCAAAGAAAACACAATATCAACCTCATCATCTCTCTTTCTCTTCCTACATAGGTCTGCAAAAAAAACATAATAGGTAAATATGTACGTGTATAATATGTATGTAATTAAGAAGAACGGTAGAGAGAAAAATAATTGAAACAACTTACAGTTTTGAGCTCAGCAACACGATTACATGATGACTGCGGCTGTGGTTGTTGTTTTGAAGTTAGTATATGCAAAAAAATTTAATTCATATATACATATGTACATATGTTTGAGGGTAATTCCACGAACTTGTACTTAGTTTCAGAATGATGCACTAATCATTAAATTCATTAATCTTTTTTTTTTTTGGACAACTTTTCTCTAGCTAAAAAAATTTTACTTTACTTTTAATATAATTAACTATTACATATTTAGTAGGGAATTTTCACTTTTGATATTATTCACTACTTAATTTTTTTATATATATTTTTTTTAAGGTATTAATTTTAGTTATTTCATTATTACAATTTTTTATTTTTATTTTTTTTAATTTTATTTTACCGGGTTGAGATTACTGCTTGCGGTGGACTTTTCCGAGCCAAGCTGAGTGGATAGCAACCGCCCGTTTCCTTGTGAGCCGCGGCTAGGGAGATATTCTTGCGAGTATGGCGGACGGCACGTCGGGGAAAAACGTTCAAGTNTTTTTTTTCTTCGTCTGGGAATAAAGGCAGCCGCGAGTATGGCGGACGGCACGTCGGGGAAAAACGTTCAAGTGCCCACGTGTCGCTATGGTACAAAAAGAATCGAGTGTAAAGGCTTTTCTGGCTTAATGAATATAGATTTACATATGTATCACAACGTGTGTATACAGAAATAAGTAGGTATCTTGCAGAAACTAACAGCCGATTTCCCGAAAGCAATTTAAGTGACAAAATGATCCTGATTTTTTGAATTTTTATCTGGTATTTGGCAGAAATTCAAAAATCATTTTCCATCCAAATGGCTGGTGAAACCGGCTATAAGACTGATAAAAAAAATAGAAATAATTACCTGTTATGTGAAGTTTTAGCAGCGATATTAAAATTTTAACTTGATAATCGTTTATAAGGGCTCGAAACCCAAGGCAGGTGCTTTTTGTTTTTGGCAAATTTTGTGCTACTAATTACAAGCAAAAAACTGATGCACCAGATAATTTAGGATTTTTCGAATCTGCAAAATCTAAGTCTTCCCACGACGATGTCCAAAATAGAAAAGGAAGTTGCTCTANCTCGAAACCCAAGGCAGGTGCTTTTTGTTTTTGGCAAATTTTGTGCTACTAATTACAAGCAAAAAACTGATGCACCAGATAATTTAGGATTTTTCGAATCTGCAAAATCTAAGTCTTCCCACGACGACGTCCAAAATAGAAAAGGAAGTTGCTCTATTCTGTAATATTCTCTATAGGTAGATGACAATACGCTTTTTTGTGATGACAGGACTGGCCCTCAAAAAAAATCTCAGTGTTGTAAAACGAAAGTTTAACTACTGCTTAAGGAAAACTTATGTGAGACTCTAGATTAGCGAAGGGAAAGTAAAAGATCGCTACCCCAGATACTTTGTCAGATCGCAAATCATAGTAACAGCGAACTTGTTACCGCTTGTGGATTCTGGCAAGGGTCCTATTGTGTCAATTATCACCAGAGTGTCCAGATTTGGCGATTTCGCGCCAATTTGGCGATTTTTTTTTAGATATTTGCGCGTAAAAATTTAGGAAATCGCCATTGGTGATTTTTGGCGATTTTTTACATTCAAATAAAATTTTTCCAATTATTACAAAACTTAGTTTTCCACGATAATTTTACAGAAGAAGCTAATGAACTGCGTGATAAACTTGACTTAAGAAACATATTAAAAACTGTCAACATTTTTTAATCACCCTAATCGAAGAACTTTTGTAACGATTACCTGGTCAATTAAATACTTTTAAAAAAGCTTTGATTTTGTCACCAGAAAAGTGTGTGAATCACAAGAGGGTGAGTTTCAGGGACCTGCCAGTTCACTATTTGACTTTGAAGGAAAGAAAAGCAGCGGAAACTGAATATCTAAATCTTTAACTTTCCCATGGAATAACTTTTTTCAGAACCATTCCATCCGACTCTGAAGAATTTTGGATAATTGCTTACGGAGTGAAAACCGCAACAGGCAATAAATTGTTTGGAAATATAAGTAAAGTAGCCTTCATATTTTTATCCTTGCCGCCCTCACATGCTTTTGTTGAAGGCTAATAGCTCAGTATATCCAGTAAAAAAACTCTGGTGAAATTTGAGATAGCACACAATTTCTTACGCGCATGGTTGCTTTTCAGCACCAATGAAAGAAACTTAAGAAGCATTAACAAGATAAGCATATAGTGCATTAATTTTTGAAAGAAATACCATATAATATATGTACTCTGATTAATAATATTAAAAAGTGTATTATAACCACCGTTTAATGTTATTGTTTGAACTCAAATTAATGAGCCTCGTAGAAGAAAAACTCGACTGCTAATTTTCACTGATTTATTTCGACTAACCACTTGTACATTGTGCTAGAAACTTATAAAGCAAAACTCTTATTGGAAAGAACCAGTTATCGTAACATCGAATGATGTTGAGAGAACAATTGATAATAACAATTTACAGTATTTGTGTTGTTATGATAAGGAATGCGTTGATATGTATAATCCTATATATATGAATGTATGTAAATATGTATATAACTAAGTTAAGCTGTGCGTAACTATGTGCGTACCCACTTGCTGTAGCAAAGACATTTGCATGTACGTACATATGTAAATAAGATAAAGAAAAACAACATCGGCCGATATGTTTCATGTATGCACCTATGCATGTAGCGCAGGCACAGTGGTACAAGACTGTAACTACTTTGTAGAAATATACACAAATTCATCTGCTCCAACATACTCCGCCCGTTGAAATATTATTTTCAAACATTTTTATTCAATCGGCAAAGGAGCTATCTTGTGCACTGGGCGCCGTAGAGTACCTCGCTTTGTGAGAATGTCAACCACACGTACACGGCCATCTGCTCCTGGGGACGTGTTTGTGATGCGACCAAGTGTCCATTGTTGGGGTGGCAAATTGTCATCATGAATCATAACAAGCTGACCAGGAACGATGTTTTCTTGCTTCTCAAGCCACTTCGACCGCACTTGTAATGTATGAAGGTAATCCCGACGCCACAAGTCCCATAATCGCTGCTTTAAGTAAGTGATACGCTGCCAACTAGTTAGACGCGACTCCTTTATGACGTTGAGTTGTGGCTCCGGCAGTGTTTTCAACGAAGTCCCTATAAGCAAATGTGCTGGAGTAAGCGCCTCACCATCATTTGGGTCGTCAGTCAAAGGCGTAAGAGGTCGCGAGTTCAATATGGCCTCTACCTCAATCACTACTGTCTGAAGTTCTTCGAATGTTAAGTTAGACTGTGAGATGTATTTTACCAGCAGAGTCTTCATTGATTTTATAGCAGCTTCCCACAATCCCCCAAAGTGAGGAGCTCGCGGTGGGATAAATCGAAATTCAAACCCATGAACGCTGCCGAACTGCTCCAAATCAGATACTGATTGCTGGTTGAAGAACTGACGCTTTAATTCATTCAGCTGCGCCTGTGCGCCCACAAAATTCGTGGCGTTGTCACAGTAGATACGATACGGTATGCCACGTCTGCCAATAAAACGCTTCAAAGAGAGAACAAAGTTATTAGTTGATAAATCTGATATTAATTCCGCATGTACTGCTTTCGATGAAAAGCAAACAAATACTGCTAGATAGGTTTTGTAAGGTGCCTTTCCACGAATGCGGTACGAAGTATAAAATGGGCCGCATAGGTCAACACCTACTACCAAAAAGGGGCGCTGAGCAAGCAGACGATCGGCTGGAAGAGATCCCATTATTTGTTGGACTAACTTTGGTTTGTAGTGATAACAATGCGCACAAGAGTTGACTACCTTTCGTACTAACTCACGCGCATTGATTACCCAAATTTGCAATCGCATAATTCCGATTAACACCTTTGGGCCTGCATGCTTGTTCTTTAGGTGCAGGTGCTCCACAAATTTGCGCGTAAATTGATGTTGCTTTGTCAATAACGCAGGAAACTTCGCATTGTATTCAATGGGTGCTTGATTGAGTCTTCCTCCAACTCGAAAACTAATTTAGTTGAAACTTGCAAAGGGGTCTCGACCAAAAATGGTGACAGCTTCTGTAGTTCAGGTTTTAGTGTCTTCCCTGCCTTGAGCATCTTTATTTCATGTGCATAATGTGAGTGCTGAATGGATGAAAGAATGTATAAAAATGTCTGCTGAAGTTCATCTGGTGATACGAATAAGAAATTCTGTGCATTTTTGTTAGGGGCTATTTTGTTGAACGGTCGTAGAACGAATGCCATCACCCTTAATATACGCCGGTATGATGAATAATTTGCAATGACATTTTCAACGATGTTTTTATCTGTGACACCGACGGTACACTTGAGTGTAATTGGTTTCCGCTGTTCCAACTCCAGTTTACTGAACGAGGTCTTTGTCGCTTCCTCTGGCCATGATTCGGTATTTCTGGAGAGAAATGCTGGTCCTTTAAACCACATAGTGTTTAAGAGTTCACGTGCCATGCAACCGCGTGATACAATGTCTGCCGGATTTTGCTTCGTAGGTACATATCTCCAATTTATGCCTACTGAATTCATCTGCAGCTCCGAAACTCGATTGGCCACGAAACAATTTAGTGTTGACGAATGCATTTTGATCCACTGCTAAACGATATTTGAATCCGTCCAAAAATTAATATCATTAATATATTGAACTAATTTAGTTTTTATTTTGCTCCAAGTTGAACACAATAAGACGGCTGCGCACAACTCCAAACGTGGTAGTGAAATTGCCCTTATTGGGGCAACCTTTGACTTTGATATTAACAAAGACGTGACGACCTGGCCGTTTATATTTGCGCGAAGATATATGCAACAGCCGTATGCACGTTGAGATGCATCTGCAAAGCCATGTACATCACATTTATAAGTCAATGCTGACTGTACATACCTGGGCACTTCAATGGAATTTAGATGTTGCAAGTCTGCCTCGATTTGCTTCCAGTGGTTACTCAACTCATTGGGTAGTGTCTCGTCCCATCCAAGGCGACGTATCCAAAGTTCTTGTACTAAGATTTTACAGCGAACTATCACTGGACTTACCAAAGCCTAATACGTCGTACAAACGTGCCACAGTTGAAACGACAGACCGCTTCGTTGGATATTCTTTCACTGGCAGGTCATATTTAAAACAAAAAACATCAGCTTTTGGCTTCCATGCCATACCGAGAGCCTTGGTCACATCCATATCTTCGAGCCTTATTTCGAACTCTCCAGAGTCTGTTCGCCACTCGCGATGACTAGATTTCCATTTAGCTAGCTGTAGGCCTGCTTCTGCTAAGAGCTTGGTTGTTTCAACGGCCTTTATGTGTAGATCGCTTATGTTATCTGCGCCCGTTAGGAGATCGTCTACATACATATCCGTTTTTAAAGTTGCACAGCCGACTGGAAATTTTTCTTCGTGAAGATCTGCAATCAAGTGAAGACTTCTGATGGCCAAGAATGGAGCACATGCCATGCCGTATGTTGCCGTGTTCAACTGAAAAAGACTTAGAGGATCATTTACAGATGTTCTCCAATAAATTAATTGATAGCTACGATCTTGCGGTTCTACGACAAATTGCCGATACATTTTGCAAATGTCAGCGGTAAGTCCGTAACGATGCAATCGAAATGCTAATAGTGTTAAGATAAGATTTTGCTGAATTGTGGGCCCAATCATAACCAGGTCATTAAGTGAGCAATGTGCTGTGGTTTGAGCTGACGCATCGAATACCACACGCAACTTAGTTGTCGAACTCTCTGGTCGTACTACACAGTGGTGTGGTATTACGTAATGTGGAGAAGTCAATTCCAATCCGTTACATGGGCTCATATGCCCAAGATCCAAATATTCTTGCAAGAATGCTGAGTACATTTCCTTTAATGCAGCATCACGTTCAAGGCGACGTTCGAGTTGCAGGAAACGGCGTTTAGCAATGTCGATGGACTCTCCAAGTAAATTTGGAGACTGCTTAAATGGCAAAGAGACTTGAATGCGACCATTTGCGAGCACCTTAGCGTGCCCCTTGATATGATTCTCACATTCTTGTTCCTCTGGAGTATATATGGAATGTTTCACCTGGTCGTTTGCGAAATCTTCAAGTTCCCAGAATTTTTTCAGTATTGTGTCAAGTCCATTACGCGTAGCGACATTGCACGTGTATAAATTCGATCTAGACTTGCTGTCCAATTTTCCCCCAACAATCCAGCCCAATGTGGTATTGATTAGTCGCGGTGAGTATTCACTTAGTGTTTGATTGTTACCGACAAATATTTCAAAGAAGACTTGCGAGCCTAGCAACAAATCGATTTTTTGTGGTTTGTAGAAGAGCGGATCAGCCAGTATAATGCCTTCTGGAAGATTCCAGTTGGTAGTGTCCAAACAATGTTCTGGCTGCTGAAGCGAAATTCGGTTTGTGACGGCAAGATCTGAAGTGAATTCATAGCTAGACACTCGAGATTTAATAACTGTTTTGACTGAAAACCGCAAGTTGGTACGAACATCTGCAATACCAGAAATTTCTTGATTATTTCGCTGAAATCCAAGTTGAAGTCGTTTAGCCAGCTCTTCAGTAATGAAGTTAATTTCAGAGCACGAGTCTAGAAGAGCCCGCGCTGTTTGAAAACTGCCATACTTGTCTTTGATTAAGACAAGAGCTGTAGGAATAAGTGCACGCCGAGTACTTTGTGATACTAACGATAGAACAGGTGGTTGCGACGCAATTGTTTCACTCATATGAGCTCCATTGTTATCTGCCGAGATATGACGATGCAACGCGGTATGGTGTGAATTTTGGCATACACGGCATTTTGATTTGGAAGGACATTTTGAAATCATGTGTCCCTTAAACAATTCGATGGTGATTTGCTTTGTGCAGTCACGAATGCGCTTGATGCTTGCTTATGATGTGCGCCTTTGCTCCTTTCATATTGCGGTTTCATGTTGCTTTCGAGAATTTGGCAATGCCGACTTAAAGTGTCGTAACAAAATTCCCAAGTTGGTAATTTTTCGAAGCTTTGCTTCCTGTCATAAGTTAGTTTTGACTCTCCATCTATCTTTGATAAAACTAATTAAATAATGATCGCGTTCATAACGTCTGCCTCGGAGCCCAAAGACAACAACGAACCTCGGAGAGCAGAAACTGTGTCTAGAATTGTGCGGAGACTTGATGGATCCGGCTTTGGCATGGTTTGAATGTTGAACAAGCTAGTTATGTGTTCTAAAAATATTAATACCCGTTTGTCGTAGCGCTGCTCAAGTTGTTTGAGTGCCTTTGTGTAGTTTTCCTCTGACACTTGGAACGGTGCGACGACGTTCAATGCGTTGCCTGACAAAGAACTCAATAAATAGTTAAATTTGTCGATGACTGGTATAGATTTATCCTCATGAACCAGGTTTCGAAACGATGTAATGAAGCGATTATATTCACCGTATTTGCCATCAAACTTAGGCAGCTTTAATGACGGTAGACGACTTTGGTGCAAGATATTGGAGCAATTTGTCACATTAACTACACCGGAGTCATCAGGCTTATCTTTTCTGCCCTTGCCTATACGCCTTGATATCATTGCCTTTGCAGCGACGAATAAGTCTTCAATTTCGGCTCGATGCTCGTCATCTGGATCGATTTTTTCAATCTTCGTTTGCAATTGGCAAATTTGTTGAAAATATGCCTTCAAAATTTCCGCTCGACATTCAACGACTGCAAGATCACCCTGCTTATCTTGTTCGATTTTGGCGGCGATGCTTTTTAAATTTCTTTCCATTGTGGCGCGTTGTTGGCGTAACCCGGATAACTGCTCCTCCTGACTTTCTGCTTTTGCCTTGCTCATTATTAAATGTAGCTAGCGGTGACTCGAAATGATGCTATATTGAGTGCCGTAATTATAGTTTGAACACCATAGTTCAACGTGTAACGAAAAAAATGCACTACAACGATTTAAAGAATTCAGGACTTAGCCATTTGCCAGGTATAAGTCCTGTCACGGTCGCCACTGTTTGAACTCAAATTAATGAGCCTCGTAGAAGAAAAACTCGACTGCTAATTTTCACTGATTTATTTCGACTAACCACTTGTACATTGTGCTAGAAACTTATAAAGCAAAACTCTTATTGGAAAGATCCAGTTATCGTAACATCGAATGATGTTGAGAGAACAATTGATAATAACAATTTACAGTATTTGTGTTGTTATGATAAGGAATGCGTTGATATGTATAACCCTATATATATGAATGTATGTAAATATGTATATAACTAAGTTAAGCTGTGCGTAACTATGTGCGTACCCACTTGCTGTAGCAAAGACATTTGCATGTACGTACATATGTAAATAAGATAAAGAAAAACAACATCGGCCGATATGTTTCATGTATGCACCTATGCATGTAGCGCAGGCACAGTGGTACAAGACTGTAACTACTTTGTAGAAATATACACAAATTCATCTGCTCCAACAGTTATATTTGATACAAATTAATATTGCTACTCGGAACGCTCTGCGCATTGCCACTGAATATAAGGTTTACTTAAAATTACATCCCTGGACCTTGTTCTTTCTGTATTGCATCGTGGTGAATTCACATTTCTCAGAAATTTGGCAACAAAACAAAATGAATGGAATATTTTATTTGCTAATTTTTGCGATTTCTATTGTTTAATGTAAATTTTATGTATTTTTAGGATATGTTGAGGCAACAAAGAAGGCGCAGTTTGAAAATGAAGTTATTAGTATGAAGTAGCAGCGCAGCCACATTTGGAAAATCATGCCGATAAGCAAGATGCAATTTGGGAAAGTAAGTGCATGGTTGCAGCATATCTATGTATTAAAAAAATATTTAATTAAATGAAATTGTGCTTAATAGAAATGTTATAAATAGAGTGGCGTTATTTAAGATGTGCTCCAAACATTTGGCGAAATTTTTTTCGTCTTCTCAACGTGCTAAGTTACAAGTTAGGATGACTGCCACCACGGTCGGTAAGAAGCCCGAAGCAAAGGGCAAACAACCTTCTTGGAAGCTGCCTGCTGTCACCGAGTCGCAGCTGAAGTTAAGCAAGAAGCAGCTCAGCAAACGTGCTACCCTGATCAAGCGTAAACTAAAGCGCTCTGCTGTGATCGCACTCCGCAAATGTGAAAACTTGGTGCATGCTGAGAAATATCAAGCAAAATATCTCCGTGATGGACGCCGTGAGAATAAGTTGCGCCGTCTGGCAAAGAAACGCGGCCCATTCTACGTGCCTGCAGAAGACAAATTGGCTTTTGTGATCTGTATCCGCGGTATCAACAAAGTTGCACCAAAAGTGCGTAAAGTTTTACTGTTGTTCCGTTTTCGGCACAGTAACCACGGTTTTTCATCAAATTCAACCATTAATATGCTACGCATTACCGAACCCTATATCACATGGGGTTATCCAAATATTAAATCAGTTCGTGAATTGATCTACAAACGTGGAATTGTCAAGCACAACCATCAACGTGTCTCAATCTCTGACAACTTTGTGATCGAACGCAAATTGCGCAAAGCGCACGATATTCAGTGCGTTGATTATTTGGCGCACGAAATATTCACTGTTGGATCCCACTTCAAGAAAGCCTCCAACTTCCTCTGGC